ATGGGAAAGCAAATACTGCAGAATATCAGAGGCAAAACTTGAGCCCAGTATGCAAACTCACTTTCTGACCATTGCACCACTTGAAATTAAATAGCCCTAATTTTGAAGTTTCTTTTTAAGATACTCATTTATTTCAAAGCAGCACAATTATTACCACTGAGTATTATTGATTTCTTCATCAACATGTTTCTGAGCTTTTTAGGAAAATGGAAATGCCTGGATTTATAGGGTATTTTCTCAATTTATTTTTATTTTATTAAAGTTTGTTCCCTTTAATAGGATAATATTCACCTCTGGAATATATAGCACTGAACATTTTCTAAAAGTTTTCCCTAAGACTGCAGAGAATACTGAGTGGCTTGGTGTCAGGCAGATCCAAAGTGCAAACATAAGCAACACTAACACTACCATGCCACTTTAAAAATCTGATTGACTTTTGTAAATTTCAGTTTTCTTTGTCTTCACCAATTCTTGCACTAATCTTCTGTTGTATTAATCTGCTGTTGCACTAATCTGCTGTTGTTGCATTAATTTCTTTTTGCAATAATCTGTTGTTGGAAACTGTAAAAAATGTTAATTTGGGACCAAGAGTAATTGTCATCACACAAACATCTTTCTAATAATAATGAATTAATATTCCTGTATGTGCTTTGCCTTGTTATATAAGAAACCAGAAAAGAGTTTAGGCACATTAAGGCACTGAATTACCTGGGCTTAAATGTATCAAATGAAAAACCGTTTTGCTTTATGTTTTTGTTGTTGGTTAATCATTTTCTTTCATTATTTTTATTTCTGTGGGTTGTTGTTGCTGTCAAACTTAGTAAAACTGCTGATACCCACAGTCATTTTGTGTTCTATTTTTAAAAATGGACTGATGTATCACCTCTTCTGGAGGACATTTCATGGTTGGTAAATCTGTGCATTTCTCTGTTGCATTGGTATGTTCTTTTGAGACTTATAAGCTATACTGGACTTATTTCTGAGTAGTTTATAATACACTACTCGGGTTCTGACTTTTTATTGCATCTAACATTTTGTTATCTTACAAAATTGGCAGATTCTCAGGTAATTTTTATAGAACTTTCAGATTGCTATTATTCAGGACACAGCAAAGCAGCACGATAAAAAGAAACTAAAAAATCAGGACTTCGGATTCTTGTATCAGAGACTCACATTGATACTACTATATTTCTTTTTTATTATTTTTTCATTTGGGTTAGAAGCAATCTTGTTTCACATGTCAATCCCAGATCCCTCTCCCTCCCCTCCTCCTTCTCCCTCCCCACCAGGTCCCCCAGTCCCCCATCCAATCTCCACCCCGATGCCAAGGAGGGTGAGGCCCTCCATGGTGGATCTCCAGTAACTGTCTTTCATCCATGGCAGGCCTAGGCCTTTCCCCAAAAATACCGGCTGAGGGAGCCTCCTATTTTGTGGCATGCGCACTCAAAGTCTATTTGTATGCCAGGGATAAATACTACCCAAGGCCCCATAGATTACCTAGGCCTCTTCACTGACACACACATTCAGGGGATCTCGGTCAGTCCCATGCTTTCCACACAGCCATCAGTCTGGAGTCCAAGAGCTCTGCCTTGTTCAGGTCAACTGTTTCTGTGGGTTAAACCAGCCCACTCTTAACTCCTTTGCCCACCAGTTCTCTCTTTCTGACACTGGATTCCAGGAGTTCAGTTCAATGTTTGTCTGTGGGTATCTGCTTCTGCTTTCATCAGTCGCTGGATGAAGGTTCTGTTTCCTAGATTCTCTGGCCGTGTGATTGTATTCTGGCACTCCCCTGATTCATGTCTAAAATCCATACATGAGTGAGTACATATCATGTTTCTCTTTTTTGTGACTGGGTTACCTCACTCAGGATGGTTTTCTACTACTATATTTCTTAAGCAAGTTTTGGCTTTAGTCCCTTTTCTGTCTTTCTAATAGACATCATCTGAAAGATGTCTTCTTTTAAAAGGCATTTCATGTGAGCATGTGAAAGACACAGTGACACATTTGGCAAAAAATTAGATTGACCATTTTTCAGATTTATGGCTTTTTCATTTATTTTATTTATTATTTGAAAATTTTATACCCATGTAAATGTGAACTTGTCCATAGCCATACCTCGTTTACCTACTTTCTTTCCCCCCAAAACAATCCCCACGGCATCCTCCCAACTTTATGTCATCCTTGTATGTATGTATTTATTTATATATTTACTTAATCATTCTGAGTCCAATTACTTCTACGTATATGTGAATGGACATTGGATCATCCACTGAGCTGTTTCAGTGGCCATATCCCTAAAGTAAAATAACTATTCCTCCCCACCAGATGCCATCAGTTTCCAAAAGCACCTCAGCCAGAGCTGAGTCTTGAGAGCCCCATCTCCTCACACCCATACTGGATTTTCTTAATTGACACTATCTTGGATAGAACTTCCACTGGTAGCCACTGCTGTAAAATTCATGTATACACTAGCTATGCCGTTTGCAGAGAATGGCATTTCACATCGCTCGTCCCGACTTTCCAGCTCATACTCTCTTTCTGCCCCCTTTCTGCAATGCTCTCCAAGTCTGGAAGGAGATACATAGATGTCTTATCAACTACTAAGCCCTTGCAGGGACATTCAGGTTTAAACAGAAATATGTTAATGCATTGTCTAACAAGAAACTTCTTTGACCAAGATGGGAGCCCCATAGAACTACATATACAAATATTTAAAAGGCAGTTTAACCTGATCACTTAGAGAATAAAGACAACATATAATAGTGTCACTGGCTGTCTTTAACCACTGGGTTCCTAATCCTCAGACCAATGTTGTGTCACTGTGCTCATTTACATAGCCCAAACTGAGCCTGTCATATTCTTTTCTTGAGTATCCAAACTTTACTACCTTCCTTGTTCTCTTCAATGAGATAACACCACAAACCACCTTGTTTCTAACCCGTGATGAAGTTCGTTTTCAAGCCCCTTTGTGTGACATGTCGCCATAACAGTTCATCTCTGTCCCCACATACTTCAGTTATCTTTGCTAAGATTAATTCAGGCCACCATGGTGTTCATTTGTAGAGAAGGTTTCTAGGTACACTTTTATATTAATTATGTACCCACCAAGCAACCCCACCCAAGTAGGCAATGGTGATCTTTCACAAAAACAGTGACTGGACTTGGAGATCTGAGAAAAAGAAAGAATTAAGTACATCTCCCAGATTTTTTTCCTGGACACTTAAATATTATATATCCCCAGAAAGAAAGCAAAGGAGTTACGAGGCTCTTAGGGAAAGATTTCCTTCCCTACTGTGGATAGCAGGATGTTCAGAAACCCAAGCACTAGAAACAGTTATGCTTCCTCAAACAGAACCAAAACAAAATCAGGTTTTCTTAATCTGAACATTTCTGGGATACTGTGGATAATTTTAGAAATTTATTATGTTGGGAAGAATAAACTCCACATGGATGATGGGAGTAGTAGATATTGTCTTTTTTTCAAATAGCATAAAGCAATGACCTGGATGTGGTGACAGTGAGAACTTCCTTAGATTATGTGTTGTATATGGACTTGACAAGTCAGCTAACTTCATATTCATCCAGAGTAGCTGGAAAGCTGCAGAAATCCTACAAATGAAATCTTTTGTTGTATGAAATTCAGAGTAAAACTCCAATTCTCCACATTGCTCCATTCCATTCAACTCCTCATACCCCTTTATGTCTGCACTTCCTTCTCAAAGCTTTGTCAGGGTAAGCTGGTGTGAGCTGTCACAGCTCATTACCAGCTTACTCAGACCTACAATACATTTACTGTTTTATACTCCATGTACTTTAGATCAATATCATAGTTTGTCTTGAGAGTTATTTTAAACAATTTTTACTATTGACTGTAACCTGTGTGCATCATTATTATTTATAATATCTAAAACAATGTCGAGTGTGTGGAAAGCCAATAAATATATGCTGAACAAATAGAGAAAATGGGAGTTCTAGTTAGTTGACTCGAAAGGTAGTGCCACAAGAACTGCTGCTTAAAATATGTTCCTTTCCGGTGAGCATGGGGGAGGGGGGTGTAAAGGAAAGGCTGCTGGAGTGAGTGAGTTGGCCCAGTGGGAGGCTGTTTCCTGGGAATGTAGTAATTTGAACTCAAAAACTTAGACACATCTGCAAGAAGTTGCTAGGAACAGCAGGGACCAGTTCCCTCAAGCAAAAGCCTGCTGCTGGAGCACAAAGTGAAGGGTATAGGAATAGAATCACAGTTCTGGAAGGGAAGAGGGAAGACATTTGCCTGAGTAAGGTTTTTGTATGGTTGTATGTACTGTGCCTCAGTGGGAATTTGGGCCGGAGGATGGGCTCATTGACTTCGTACTCACAGACTAGCTGGGGTGAGACTTGACCCACATGGCAGACACAGAGTGTTTAGGAAATTGTTGAAATGCCTTGTTTAGGTGGCAAGGCATACAGCTGATTTACAAGAGAAACTACGGAGTCCAATGGTCATTTTTTTTAATAATGGTCAAGAGCAATAATATGCTTGCATTAACTGAATTATTGAAATTTCAAACAGAGCAAGTTCCAGGACAACCTCCAAAGCCACAAGAAACCCTGTCTCAAAAAAAAAAAACATTTTTTCAATATAAATCAACTTGAATAAGAATACATAAAGAAAATTTTAAACTACTTCCATACCCAAAGCTAAACAGTGTATAAGTTTTGGAAGACAATAGATGACTTCAGATACATCACGTGATGATATCAGGATCACCTGGGCAAAAAAATATTTAGCTAAAGGAAATGGCGCATTTAAGTTTTTCTTGAAAAAATTATCGTAATAACACTTGAAAAGAAATATTAAAGATAATTTGCTTTGCGCTAGCTTGTCTGCCTGTGGTCCACAAGGGTAAATAATGGGACTGATTGCAATCAGGGCTGTCTTGTGAGACTGAAAAGAAAGAAGGAGGTCCTCGCTTTGCTCCACATTTTTGAAATGAGCAGATTGTTTTATCTTTGTTTTGCAGATTTACTTACGCTTCTTGGACTATGAGATGCAGAATTCAAATGAATGCAAAAGAAACTTCGTGGCGGTGTATGATGGAAGCAGCTCTGTGGAGGACTTGAAGGCCAAGTTCTGCAGCACTGTGGCTAATGACGTGATGCTGCGCACAGGCCTGGGGGTGATCCGCATGTGGGCAGACGAGGGCAGTCGCAACAGCAGGTTTCAGATGCTCTTCACATCCTTCCAAGAGCGTAAGGTTCCTTCACTTAGCTGTTTGTCCTTCACAAGTATCCCAGAAGGCAAGGCTCCTCAGTGGCTAATGGGGTTTTCTTCATGCAGCTTGGGCACAGCAGGGTGTTCCCTAATAAGAGCTTAAAACCAGTGAGGTTCCTTCTACCTCATTTTGATGCAGTGAGTTTCATATCACATTCTCAGTACTTACTTCCTTATATGCATCATAACCTCGCTTAATCAGGTGCATGCCCTTCCATTGGGAAATGGTGGATTTTGTTTGTCTTCAGGTTAGCTCTTCCAGGAATATGAAGGTGATGCTGCAGTTTCTGAAGCTTGAGTTTAACTACCGGTTTTCCAAAACTTCATAAAATATTTAATATGTTGGCTTTAGAAAACTTCCCTTGTTGTAGTCTCATTTAATCGAGACAGGCTTGGCACTGCAGAACCATAGTTAAGGTAAGGGGAGGGAGGATTGCCTAGGAAGACAGAGAAATAGAGAAAAAAATCAGATGTCTAAGGGACATAATGATATTTAAAGCTACTGAAAAGTGCATCTTTGTTTTTTATTTTTAATTTTGAAAATTACAGCTTAATGAATAACAAGCTGCATGAACAGATATATTGGGGCATTCTTAGGGAACTTAGGCTCTTTCATGGTTCACAAATATAAGCAAATGGAAGAAAATGGCAAGAAATTCAGCTTTAACAGATACAAGCCTTATATATTTTTGTTTGTTTGTTTGGTTGGTTTGGTTTTTCTAAGGCAAGGTTTCTCTGTGGCTTTGGAGTCTATCCTGGAACCAATTCTTATAGACCAAGCTGGTCTCAAACTCAAAGAGATCCATCTACCTCTGCCTCCTGAGTGCTGGGATTAAAGGCGTACGCCACGACTGCCCAGTTTACAAGCCTTATATTTTGAAGCTATGCATTTTGTTTAAATAGAAAAGAGAACGAATTCAGAGCCTAATAGGCATGTCTTGATGGAAACTGCACAGGCTGCCAGGATTTTTAAGTTTAGAACTATTAAATGTTTCAGATAAATGTTGTATAAAACACAAAAATACTTTTGGCTTTTAATTCCTTTGTAATTCTACAGGCGGGCGGGCATTCAGTGGCACAAGAATCCTTGAATGTCACTTGATCTTTCTAAATAGTACCATGAACTTCAAGTGAGTTAGATAATTCTGCCCAACTGTTTGTAGTTTATTCGTGGTGAAGGCTCTGTCTGTATCTGAGAGGTTAATTGAAATGCTGGAGGTCTTGGATCTTTATTTCATTATGGTATTTGAAAAATAATCTCATATTTTCTAGACTAGAATATGAAGAAATTCTTAGTGTAATTTTTGGTGACTCAAGTCACATTGCTCAGCTACGTTTAGTGCAGTGTGCCATTGATAAGGGTCTTCTAGGGGCTGCATTTTAAAAGTATTAATTACAATTTATATGTTTTGTGGAATATAGTTAATATGGGATCTATCACCTTTGTGATTTTGGCCTCGACCTTTTGTTTACTACATTTAGTTTATATAACACAGTATGCATTTGCCATATCTAATATATTTTGAAGTATGTACACATTACAAAATTTTTGCACCTAGTCAATGATAGTTTTTTCTCTTGTGAAATGCTAAGAAATGAATAGTAAGTGTTCGCACTACAGAAAGAAAGCTCAGTTGACACTCATGTTGACGGGCTAGAATTAACCTTGGTATTGTGTGATAGTTTCATACTATCAATTATTGTTGTCTTGTGTGATATGTGTACTGAACTGTGGGGAATGTCCCATACCTCATGTATGGTAGTCATAGCACAATGTGTGGAGTTGGTTCTTTCCTTCCAGGGATCAAACAGTTTATCAGGCTTATGTGGCAAGCACAATTTTAGATGCTCAGCCCTTGGCCCACACTAAGAGGAATTTTTTAAAATATTCTTTACAGTCTGGAATCATGACTTACTGAGATCCCACATCTAATTTCATGTCAAAAATATGGAATGGCAAACTACTGTGGGATCTCTTAAACATGAAAAGTCTACAAGTTTTATCTACTACACTGTAAAATTTAATATGGAGAAATGAAAAATACATTGCTAAATTTAAAACATTCTCTGCAATTCAAGATTTTATTTTACTGTAGTGCAACATGAGCCAATAACTTCATTTTATGAGGGAAACACACTTACCTGTATAATTAAACGACTTGCAGTACTCATACTAAAAAAGGTATCAGGCATATGGGATGCTACAGTGAATAAAATGAAACTTCATAGTTCACACTTTTGGCATTTTTTATGGGGAAAATAATCCACTGGGAAGCTTGACAGTATGTGAGATAGGAGGAAATGTCAGCTAAGGTCCCCTTTACCTCTAAAATGGCTTATTGATTTGTATGAGTAGTTATAAATCTGCATGCATATAAGAAATGATATAATATGTCATGCTATGAACCTACCACATAAGTATAGTTGAGAGAAAATATAGTATTTCAGTGTCTGTGACCATATGAGCTATTAAAGCTATTTAGTGAGTAACTGTATAAATTAAGAGTCTGGAGGATATAGAATGTTCCTTCAACATTGAAGGAAGGTCCACCCAACCCATTAAGTTCTTCCATAAGAGAGAAGGCTTGTTTGTCTTGGAATGAGGGGTGTTATAAGAACACTTTCTGCGATCATTACATTCATTTGCAATAAATTTTTGCTAAAGTTATCATGTGCGATCTAAGTTTTCTTGCACATTATAGTAAATATTCTCTGCTGTTGCACAAAATATGGTCAGTGTGTCAGGTGAAATTCAGATGATTTCTATAAATCCTGCAAATTCAATTTGTTAAAAATCTAATAACCAATAGGAAGCCTTTAGGAGGTAGGGCCCTTGTAAAAAGATAGATTTCAAAGACTCATTAATGAGCTTTGGCTTCACAGACAGTATCCTCGGTAAAAGGGCATACCCCTTCTCCCAACCTGTAGGCCCCAGGGTGGCATTTTCATCTATCAGCTGATTATTACCATGGACCAAATTTGCTGGAGTATCAGTCTTGAACTTTGCAGATTCAAGAACTGTGCAAAAATAATACCTCCCTTGTAAGTGACCCATCATAAGAATATTACATGATTCATAAAGATTTTTATCATGGCGTTTTGCTTTCCTTCATTCTATATCGTTGTTCAGAATTGTGTTTTTGTAGTGAAGGGGGAATTCATTATAAAATGAACTGTGTGTGTGCTGCTTTATTTATTGGAACCATGCTCTACTGGATACAGTTTAGAAACTGTGAGAAAATACAAAGTAGGCTTCTGTTTGAAATGAGTGGTTTAGAATAATTGCGAGGGGGTTGTCATATTGGTGTCAAAGTGACTCATTGAAAAGCCTTCAAGTTCCTCACCTAGTGTGGCTTTATGCAATGTTAGTTCTACAGCAAATTTGGAATTGCACTGTGAAATTCGATGGCGATGATGTTTTTGTTTATGGTGCATTATTCTGTTGCCTGTTGCTGGTAACACAATGCATATAGACTGCATCAGTCATAAAGAGGCAAACTTAGGGTTTAGAGTGATGCATATGCAGCTATTAGGCCTGTTCTGGTGAAGGATGAATTTCTGGCATAAAGCATCACATGGCAGTAATAGAATAGACATCACATGTGTATCTAGATGTGTGTGTCCACATATGTGTGTATATCGACACATGTGTGCATATATGCATAGTTATGTGTGTGAGTTTCTATCTGTGCACTGTCTCTCTCCTGCTTCATGTGGAGTTTCCTGGAGTAAGGAAGCCTCACTGATGAATGATTATTCTTAATTACCTCCCAGAGACTAACTTCACAAAACCCCCCTCAAATAAATAAATCTCCATCTTCTAAATACCTCCTCATAGAGATTAAACCCCAGCATGAGTTTAAAATTAATTATCAAACATCAGCCATTGATATGCAGATTGCTTTTTTATGACAAAGCACATAATGTAATTATCTGCCCAAACAAATGTATACATGAAAACACATATTTAATAATAAACAAAGGTTTTTTTCCTCCTCAAAGTTCAGATATTTAGTTGATCGTCACCAGGATAACAGAGTGAAGAAGATGGGGAACTCTGTGAGATGATTCGGGAGCATTTTAGTCTTTTCTTTTAAAAAGTGCTCTTTCAGAATCTCAGTTTACTCTCTGCTACACAAGGCTGGAGCAGGAAGACTTGAAGTGGAGAAACTGGGCCCTCATGACACTGCAACTTTGCTGGTGCCTTGATGCCTGAGTTCCCTACATCCAAAATTGTGAGAGATACACTTGTGTTGATTATAGAAGATGGTTGATTGTAGAAGATGGAGGAACTTTTAGGGTTCCCAAATGGACTACAACAGAGTGCTTCCAGTAATATCTACATCAGGAAAGTAAAATGGTTTATAGAGTACAAGCAAGGCTTAGAAATCATCCATCCCATGTCTTCACTTGTTATAACCAGATAGATGTCCAGAGAAATCAATCACTCTTCCATGCATATCTACTCTACTCTTGGTGACTTGCTAATCTAATTGAGCGGAGGGCTGAACATCTGACTTATAATGTAACTTTGCTGTCTTTGAGACATCATGGGTTTGACATCTCTTTTTTCAAAGAGGACAGTGATGACAATGGTGATGAAATTAGGTGACCAGTAGGCTCAATTCAGCAAAGATTTAAATGATTTTCAAAGGTAATTTGAATCCTTGGTCATATCATGGTCAAATTCTGGTTGCATAGCGCACTTACAAGTTAAAATCAGAGAGCATACATGACATGCTACCATCACATTACTATCAGACAAAATAAAATTAAAATGAACACATTCTATAGGATCTACCAGTGTTATCTACCAATATGATGGCTGGTAAATACAAATATATAAATGTTTAAATTATCAACCTTTTTTTCCTCACCTGAACTAATTGCAGTAAAGGGGAAAATGAGTTTATCATGGAGATGTGGATTCTTTGTCATATCAGCAGATGTTTAGCCTGTCCAAGCCCACTATTACAAA